GTTGACAAATAAATTGACATATGGAATGTTATAAGAGCCCCCAATAAAATGACTTAAAAAAAAAAAAGAACCACTTAAATGAAATTTTTGGTTTGGTGTTTTGAGGCAGAGAGGTAGCATATCAGTAGTATATATTGAGGGTCAAACCTAAGAACTAGATCTTGTGGTAAGGAAATCTCAGGGAAATTGTTTTTCTTTATTTCCACTCTACTCAAAGCCAAAGCCAAGATAAGACTTACACCACACAGAATCCCTATCCCAAAGAATTGGATAATCCCTTTTTTTTTTCTTTAGAGCAACCAAGAATGTCATTCTTTGGAAGTTGCGGCTTTATTTAGATGGGGGAGAGGGGCTTCAGTGGTGACACTTCCCATCTTGTTCGGATTTAGAGCTTTCTTTTCAATCTCCAGGAGCCCTGGTGGCATAGTGGTTACTGTTGGGCTGCTAACTGCAAGGTCGACAGTTCAAAACTACCAGTCACTCTGCAGGAGAAAGATGGGCACTCCCTACTCCTGCAAAGAGCTACTGTCTGAGAAACCCACAGGGGCAGTTCTACTCTGTCCTATCAGGCTGCTATGAGTGGGACTCGACGCAATGGCATTGAGTTTGGATTTTGAGGGTTTTTACCTATCCCCACGCTCTAGACCACCAAGCATCAGTGAATAACTCCAGAATAAACATCACTTCCAGTATTAGCTTACTCTTTTGATTCTTATTTTCTATAATGCCTGGCCTTTGAGGAAGTCTTTAATGTGTCCACAGTTCAGTCATACAATAAAACCGATTTGTTTTTTTAATGTTGCTTGTTTCTAGTATGCTGAACTACAGAAGGTTTCTATGAAAGTCCTGCCCACCAGTTTGACAAAACCAGAAGTCCTTAAAGCTTCCCAAATAACGGTAAGAAGAAAAATAGTTGGTAACAACAATTTTTTAAAAAGAAAACAAATTAAATGTCAGGTTATTTGACTTTCATAAAATGACTAATAATCATACAGTCAACCCCAAAAAGGATTAGCGGAGGTTTCCTACCAATTCACATTCATCTGGTTAGTTGGTCCCTGCTGCCTAGAATTACAGTTTTTCCAGAGCACTCAGGGTGGGCCAGATCCTTGAATCTCATGCCAAAAACAACTGGCTGCCTTCTCTATTGTCCATACAACATCACGAAGGCCAGAAAAATTAACCTCTTAAGCCTGTTTAGTTTATTTTCTTTTTCTGTGTGATGATCACTTAGTAACTCAAAACTCTTCAAACTGGTCAGTTTTGCTGCACATGACTCTCTTACTTCAGGTGTAAGATATGTTTACATCTCCTCACCAAATGTCTTCAGGAAATGTTTCTGCAGGCATATCTGTATTTGGCATGTGTGTGTGTCTTATGCACACACTTGTTTCACTTGGGTCTTGATCAATTCTATATTTAATAACTGAAGCATTAATAACTGTATATGGTAATGTGATCTATTCTGAATGAGTTTATGTTCTTAAATTAAGGATGCTTTTGAAACTTCTGATGCACATGTCTATTTGTCTGGCCAGATTTAATTTTGAGATACCTGAGGGGAAAGTTCAGTTAGAACTCACAATCTGTTTTTTAAAGATAGCAAGTTTCTGCCTTAAAAATCTGCCTACACAGCAAAGGGCATACATACAAGCCTAAATACAGACATGTACATATGTAAATATATTTAAGATTAAGGGGGTAATGGACCTAGGTACAAATAATTATAGGTTTGGTAGTAGGGTGGCAGCTGGACATTGAGCCTCCTCATGCGCACTCCCCTAATACAAGAGCACCTTGCTCAGCTAAACGGTCATTTCATGATATCTACCTTCCCGACATGATCGCTGAAGACAGATGTGTGCATAAGAAAATGTGGTGAAGAA